GTGTGTGTGTGTGTGTGTGTGTGTGTGTGTGTGTGTGTGTGTGTGTGTGTGTGTTCAGTTAAATGTAGCATTACGCAGCCTGCCTGCCTGGACGCGCAGCGCGCAGAGCAGGGGGAGGTTGGTGCGAACACCTTTGACTTTTCAAACCAAAAACACTTGGACTGCGCCTCTGCCCACCGACATGCCTTGGACCGACCGCTGTCTTTCTGGAGGATAAAGTTTGGATGTACCGTGTGGTAGGCGCGGGGAAGATGAGTGAAGCGAGCAGCGAAGGAAGAAGTGTGCCTTGTTTGGATCTGAACAGGTCGTGTGCCACAACATAGAAGTCGGAGCGCATCAAGGCCAGCAGAAGCCTGTAGCACTAAGTTAGCTGGTCGGCTAGCTTACTAAGGTTACAGGTGTTCAGGTAGCAAATAACCTAATTTAACTCGTAGCTGTGGATCGCTGGCAACAAGTTAGGCTCCTGATTCTTGATGTAACGATGTGTTAAATGTGCCTGTTTTTAGTTTCTTAGTAAAGGCAACAAGTATAACTGTGGGCAACATTGTTATTAGCCATTAGCTTTAGCGTTAGCCGCTGCTCCGTATTTACAGCAGCAGCAGGCTAGCTAACATTAGCTCCAAGCCACCGAGTTAACTTTATTGCTACATGCGCTTCTTTTCGTTTTTCTTTCTTTTTTAAACTCAGTTTTGCTCTTGACTCGCCCTCGGACACGCAGTGTTCTTTAGCGTCATTATCCCTGATTGTAAATAAACCAGTGGAACTTTTTCCACCGTGCCTGCCCCGGACTGACCCACCCATAACACTATCCATCCGGGGCCGATGCTGACAGTTCAGCCCGGATCACGGCAACGCCAGGAGCCGCTCCAACGATGCAGCCCCAGCAGATCTATGACCTTCCAAGTGACGATAACAATCACAAATGGAGAGGCCTCTTCGTGCAAGCTTTACGAAAGGTACAGTCTCCAAGCCTTGGCACAACTTCATTACAATCTGTTTCAAAACAACCAGAGTTGCACTGGTTGGTGTACTGATTCACTAAGATCTTAAAGTGCCTGTGACATGCCTATCCTTCAAATACTAAAACTCAAAGAAAGCAGCTTTACACTTAAGAAAATTGGCACAGTACACGATTTTACCTATTTTGTCTCATAACTGGCCTAATTTTTTTTATTTGGTTCAGCCAGAGTGAAACAGGAAGTGACATCAAAGGGGAACCCATTAATAAAATAAACTCTCTGGTCTCTGTTTATTAAAACAAAACTATTTTAAATTTAACTCTTCCTCGTCTCTCTTTGATGGCGACTAAAAAACATCTAAAGAAACACCAGATTCTTCTCTACAGTCTGTTTTGTTGTAACAACACTCTGTTTACATGCTGACATTCCCCTCTGACATCACTTCCTGTTTCTTCACGTGCAAATATCTCAACAACCGTTCATCTCAGCGACGTGAAATTTGATTTACAATATGTTATCAGTGTTATCTTTCCGAATATGCATTCAAGTTTATTACAAAAAGTTGATGTCACAGGCACTTTAAGCTTTTGTTGACAGGTCTTCAGTACAGTATATTTAGAAAACCCTGAAGTTTTTGTCCTTTACATCAGGGGTTCTCAAGCCATTTGGGTCTGGGGACCCCTCATAAACCCCACCTGTTTTAAAAGGTAATTTATTGTCATTTCAACCCCTAAATGCCATATATATTTTTTTTTTATTAAGTTTATTATGTTTGTTTTATTAGTTCATTGTTCTCTGTTTTTGTCTATTACTGTTTTTAAAAAATAAAAACCAAATTAACATTTTAGTAAAAAATTTTGAGGACCCCAAATATACCTCTCGCGGACCCCTGGGGGTCCAGAGACCCCACTTTGAGAACCTCTGCTTTACGTTATGATTGGCTTTATCAAAAAAGAAACCAGTTTATTTTTTGTTAAATAATTGCTACAAACTTTTGGAGATATTGAAACTGCTGAGTTCATCCTCTGTGGTTGGTTGCTGAAATTTCTAATGTGTTTTATTCAACAGTTTTGTTGCCTAAGTTCCCTATAAACACACACACACACACACACACACACACTTATTTTGAAGAAGCTGTTTAATGTTTTTTTTTTCAGTAATCTACTCTGTGAGCTGTGTTTCACAGTTTAATGGTGTGCTAATAACAAGCTTTGTGTAGATAAAACACCAGCAAAGCTTTACTTAGCCCGTTGTGAAACACTTTTAAGGAATATGTGTGGCTTCCAGACAACATTGTTTGTCTTCGCTTTACTTTTCCAAAGAAATGCAAAGTCATTCATTTTTTAATGATTCTGGAAAATGTTTAATTGTAAGGTTGTTGGTCAGCAGGACAGAACTGTATCAGTTCCTTTTCTTTCTCTTGCATCATCTTGACTTCACCCTGTCATCACACGGTCCAGTTTCTGTTTTCAAATCCAACTTATGTATGGATGTAGCTTCTGTTAGTCACTGGGTGAGACGTGTAGAAAAGGAAAAGCTGTTCAAGGAAGAAATTTAACATTTATCATTTCCACTCAGGTACATATTGGCGAAAGATGACAGTGAAATGTGTTGCTGATTTGTTTATATATAGGAGGTCGAAAAAGTCACCAAATCTGCTATAAGTGTTGAAGAGCCTGCACCTCATCCCGGCCTTTTACTCTGGATGATTCTCTAGTCATACTCAATCAGTTTCAACTGGAAACCCATCATGTGACAATAATAATATTAACAACAAAAATAATGATAATAACAATAAACAGAGTTTTTATATTTAGCAAGGAATAGACTTAGGTGAACTTGATCATAAACCACATGCCTGTGCTTTCTTTATACACTGGACAGTTAGTAAATTAAAAACTTATCAGCTGACAACCATTTTTGGAAAGGGGCATAGTTGGATAAATATTTATGTTCCTAAAATAGAAGTAGAAAAATGTTGACCAAGGTTCTGAGGGACACGTTGGTCTTTTATAATATGTTTGTTTTTAGGTGTTCTTTCTCCTGTTTATTGTGATTTACACGTTCAAGTGTGAAACTTAGTTTGGGTCAATGGCTTTAATATGATTTTAGTTTAAAGGCAATGGTTTTCAGGATTTCCTCAATAACCATTAAATCTGATTTGACAGAATTTAAGCTGTTTTTAAAATATTTTTAGTGATTCCAGTAACACTGAAGACACAAACAATGACATTTCTAACATTTCTTGAATGAATGCATGTCACCCGCTGCCTTTCATTTACTAAAATGTATAAAAATAAATGCATAACATTTAGAGATGTGTATTGGCAAGAATTTGGCGATACGATACATATCATGACAGAGGGGACATGATACGATATATCCCGATATACTGCGATACTNCTTTAAATACTTTTCAGTAAGTTATAGGTCTTGTACAATTCTGGTTCAAATAAAGAACTTCATGTTTACTAGATTTTTAACTAATTATTTTTCAGTTAATGTTGCCTTAATGAACAGTGATCAAAAAATAACCTGTAAAACTCTGGTGTTAAATGCGACATGGTTGAAAATTGGGTGCACCTAACTTTTGTGCTGGTGCGCCTAAGAAAAAATGTTAGGCGCACCAGTGCAACCAGTGCAAAAAGTTAGTCTAGAGCCCTGGAAGGGGTTTCTCTTCACCATGGAAATTATTCTGTGATCATCCATCATTGTATTAGGTCCAAATAGATATGGACCTAAATGTACACAATGAAGCTTATACTCTCCTTTTGATCAAAAATTGGAAGCCAGAATAATTGTGCAGAAAACCAAGTAAATGCTCTGTTAAAAATCTTTGTTCTTCATTTCTAGAAACTCCCAGTGCCTGTGTGTATGGGCCTGAGTCTTATCAAAACTAAAACAGGGCCCTCTCTGAAGCCTTGCATCTGCTTAAGCTACAGTCTCTCTCATTTTTCAAGTTCTACGTGCAAGTGCTGGGCGGTATACCAGTTCGTAACGAATACCGTTTTTTATTTTTATTATATGAATTTTCTGAATACCGACATACCGGTTTAAATAGCCTGAACACGTGCGGAACGTTTTGTCGTGGCCGCTGTTTCCCGGGGGACACTTTTCCTCGCTGCACTGTTATGTGCGTTAGCATGCTAATGTTATTGTTGCAGCGGCGGGTGGCGATTCCGCTTCTTACATTGGCTGACGTTAAAAAATTCCCGTTTTTGCCATCGCTGAGTGTAGTAAACACCTCTTCAGTGACGTGTACGGTTAGATATAGCACGTGACTTTAAAATGGAGACGTGGAGACGCATGGAGACTTTATTATGCTTCTATTGTGAAAAGCCTGGGGGGGTGCGTTTTGTATTGGAATTGATTGACTGGTGTGCAAGGTGAGTCCTGCTGTTAATCTTTATTAAATAATATAAAACAATAGAAACGATAATAATCTTTTCTTAACCTTCCTCCTTCACGACTGGACCAAAATGCATTACTACTGTCTCCAACCAGGAAGAGAAGAAAAGATGTTTAGAGGAGGGAAACAGCGGCACAGACAGAAGTACAGTAAAAGAAAAAAGTTAATAAACTGTGTTTGTACATTTTATTATCAGCTGACCTGTGATGAAAAGAAAAATAGCGTGCTATACCGTGAAACTGGTGTAAATGTTGAAAATACCGTGATATAAAATTTTGGTCATACCGCCCAGCCCTACTACGTACCTTTTAAACAGTTTGAAGCATCGCTATCTTTCAGATGTGCAACTTGCACGTGAACCCCTGACTCTCAAAGGAGCAGTGCTGCCGTGGGAGCGCGCATTCTTATAAACACTAATAATATTAAAGAATATTTATTCTCCACATTAGAACACAGATGTGTGTCTTTGTTTTACTTTAATTTCCCTTTAAAATCAGAGATTTCTCTGAGTCAGCTTCAGGTTTGTTTATCATAAATATCTGCTAAATGTAATTCTACCAGGTGTTTTACAAGTAGCAACAAGGTGTTTTGGTTGTTTTGTGCTAAACGTATTTAAAAACCATACACAGGTTTTTAAAATAAATATATCAAACTCAGCTCCATGGCTGAAAACACCATGAGAAAATGACATAAAAGTGAATTAGGGAAAAGCTGTTGAAATCATCCCTCTTCCTTCAGAACCTCATCAGTCTTAAAAATCTAATTATTGCAGGCTAAATTCTTACAAATTCCACACTCAATTGGAGAACACTACTGTGTACTTTTTACCAAGGTCACAGCGGGTAAAATAAGTATTGAACACGTCACCATTTTTCTCAGTAAATATATTACTAGAGGTGCTAATGACATGAAATTTTCACCAGATGTNTCATTTTAAAATTTAGTTAGATTTTTGCATATTTGTTGGTGTTTCACAAAGAGTGGTCCCAACCCCAACTTTGGAAACCATTAATCTAACAATCAGGTTTGTCCACAAGAAGGAAGCAACAAATGCAGTTTATGAGCCTCAATGTGTGCAACAAAATGTTTAAATTATGTTAGTAGGCCTATAGCCAAATGGTTTCAGTGTTTCCAACGGTAAAAGTCTACATTCCATATAACATGGAAATAAAGGGGTATTTTTTTATTTTATAAATGTCGCCAACGTGTTTATCATGGGGTGCCGTTTGTAAGGTTACACAGTCAAAAATTACCACCAATATTTTAGTTTTATTTAGCCTTTTATAAGAAATAAAAGAACAGATTTATTTTTCAGTCAGTTTTTCACCATATGATTCATACATTTATAAATGTCATAGTTTATAAACTAAATATTTAACTTACAAACTAAATATTTAGTTAACAAGCTAAATATTTAACTTGTGACTTAAA